GGAAAAAGCCTACCTGATCATGGTGGATGATCTTTTTGATGTGAGTCTGTATGTTATTTGCAATAATTTTGTTGAGAATTTTTGCAGCTACGTTCATTAGGAATATTAACCTATAGTATCTATTTTTTTGTAATGTCTTTTTCTGGTTTTCATATTAGAGTAATACTGGCTTCATAATAGGAGTTTGGGACTTCTCCTTCAGTTTCTATCTTTTAGAACAATTTAAGTAATATTGGTTGTAGATCTTCTTTGAAGGTATGGTAAAATTCTGTTGTGAATCCATCTGGGCCTGGGCTTTTTGTAATTGAGAGATTTTTATATTACTGTTTCAATTTACTTGTTATGGGTTTGTTTAAATTGTTGATGTCTTCTTGGATTAGCTTTGGTGATTTCCATGGATTTAGAAATTCGTCTATTTCTTTTAGGTTTGCAAATTCAACAGGTATAGATTTTTAAAGTATTCCCTTATATTGTTCTAGATCTTTTGGTGTCTGTTGTGATGTTTACTCATTCGTCTCTGATTTTGTTGATTTGGATTTGCACTTTCTTTCTTTTAGGTAACTGGACTAAGGGTCTGTCTATCATGTTTATCTTTTCAAAGAAGCAACTCCTAAATTCACTGATTTTGTTTTGTTTTATTTCTATTTCATTGATTTCTGCTCTGATTTTTGCTAATTTTTTTCTTATCTGCTGGGTTTGGTTTAATCTTGCCTTTCCAGATTTCTTGAGTTGTACCATCAAGTCATTTATTTGTGCCTCTTCTGATTTATTTATTTCAATTATTTTTATGTGTATGAGTGCTTTGCCTGCATGTATGTAAGTGCACCCATGTTGTGCCAAGATCACAAAGGCCAGAAGAGGGCGTTAGATCCCCTAGATCTGGAGTTACAGATTGTTGTTAGCTGCAATGTGGGTACTGAGAACTGAACCTGGGTCCCCTGCAAGAGCAGACAGTGCTCTGAACCACTGAGTCATCTCTCTAACCCTTCTTTCTGATTTTTTAAATGTAGTTGCTTAGAGATACAAATTTCTTTCTTAGGACTGCTTTTAATATGTCCTAGAGGTTTTGTTGTGGTATATTATCATTTTCCTTTAGTTCCAGGAATACTTTCAATTCTTTCTTGATTTCTTTTTTGATACAGTCATCATTCAGGAGTGTTATTTAATCTCCATGAGTTCATTTAGTTACTAGAGCTGTTGCTGTTGATTTTAAGTTTTATTTCATTGTGGTCTGGACAATGTCTGGAATAATTTCAGGCTTTTTGTATTTGTTGAGGGATTTTTGTGCCCCAGTATGTGGTCTATTTTAGAGAAACTTCCATGTGCTTCTGAATAGAATGTCTATTCTTTGGTGATTGGGTAGAATATTCAATAGGTATGTTTTAGGTTAATTTCATATATGATTGCCTTTAATTCATACATTTCTCTATTCTCTGTCCCATTGACCTGTCTATTGGAAAGAGTGAGGTATTGAAGTCACCTACAATTTCTGAGTTGGGGTTAACCTGTGTCTTGAATTTCTGAAGTACTGTCTCTATAAAATTGGATTGCACCAGAGTATTTGATGCACAAATGTTTGTCACTGTAATGTCTTCCTGGTCAATTGCTCCCTTGATTAGAATGAAGTTAACTTTATCTCTTCTGATTAATTTCAATCTGAAGTCTAGTTTTTCAGATATTGGAACTGTAATGCCTGCTTATTTCTTAGTGCTATTTTTGAAATTTTTTTCCCATCCTTTCACCCTAAGGTAGGGCAGGCATGAGCCACACACAGCTAGGCTCAGTAGATTGTGGAACATGCCACTCAGAACCTGCATGGTCCCCTCTGACAAGGGCTACTGTCCAGAGCCCTTGGATGAGTAGCTTAACTGGATGAGATGATTAAGTCAAAGGACAAGGAGCAAAAAAGAAATGAAAGCATAAAGAAAATGTTTCAAAAACTAAAATATTAGGTAGAAATTAAAAATGGAGTTTTCTTCCCTGTCACGCCTAGAAAACAATATCTAGTAGGTGTCCTGGTCCTTTGGTTCATGACAGGGAAGCTGTACCAATGACATCTCAACAATATGGTTGTCCAAACAAGGCCTGCATGACACTACCAGTTCACATGCCAGCATAGATATAGGAAATTTCACAATGGATGCTGAGAGAAAGAAAGAATTCTCTCCAGAGATGAACTCCATGACAGGTTATCCAATCTCAAGTAGTCAGTCCTAAACATATGCACATATGAGGAACACTAAATGGACTCATTACATGTGTGTGTGTGTGTGTGTGTGTGTATGTGTGTGTTTGTGTATACACAACAATTAAAGAAAAGTTCACAAAATTGAAAGGATGTGGGGAGGGTCATATGAGGAGTTGGAAGGGGAGAGGGGCAGGTGGAAATGATATAAATATAGTACTCATGCGTGAAATTTTCAAAATAAAATTTAAATTGTATAAAAAATGGACTTTGAACTGGGCGTGGCGGCACACACCTTTAATTCCAGCACTCTGAGGCAGAGGCAGGCAGATCTCTGTGAGTTCAAGTCAGCCTGGTCTACACATCGAGTTCCAGGCCAGCTGGGGCTATAGGGAGACCCTATCTCAGAAATACCCCCCAAAAATAGAAAAAAAAAAGGGTAAAAAAAAAAAAAAAAAAGGACTTTACCAGAGGACTTCCCAATTTCACAAATGGACTTCAACTAGCATGACCTAATTACTTCTCAAACTTCCCAATACTGCCAACCTTGAAAGTTGGTATTCGATGTATGAAGGTGGAGCGGGCATAAACATTCAGATCCCACCCAGAACAACAGGGCTTTCTCAAGTGCCTAGGGAGGTCAAAGTGCAACTCTCTGAATAAGGACATACTTGCCACAGCCATGACACCTCTTAGCCCAGGATCGTGGCCTAATGTCAGCAGAGGCTCCAGGGGCTGAGACTGCAGGTCCCAGGCTGGTATGCAATGTGCTGGGAAATATGTACTTTGTTCCCACATGATTACGACAACCCCCAAAAAAAAAAAAAAAAAAATGTAAAAAAAAAAAAAAAAAGGACTTTACCAGAGGCACAGTTAAACAAAGGAAGTTTCTTTCGATTTTATGACAGTATTATTTTGTAAAGCTTGATCACTACAAAAGAATCAGGTTAGTATCAAGTTTAGTACTACAATACCTTATAAGCTTGAGTGTGCAAGTCTGTTGCTGTCAGTGACTGATGCTAAAAAATAGTATTTATTATGCTACTGATTCCTTCCAAATGATGAAATAGTTTAGGTCTGGAGTTTGCTCCAAAAATCCATGTTTAAAGGCTTGGCTGCCATCCTACAGTGCTGTTAGGAGGTATTACACCTTTAGGAGATGGAACCTCCAGGAGATACTAGGATTCAGGTCTTTCTTCCCCTTTACTCTTTGCTTCCCAGTGGCCATGAGATAAACAGACCTTTTCTGTCATAAATCTATCTCCCCATGATGCACTGTATTACCACAAACCAAAAGCAACGAGGCCAAGTGAACACAGATTGAAAACTTTGAATCTCTAAGACAAAGCAAATCCTTCTGCTTTTAAAGTTGATCATCTCAAGGATTGTGTTATAGCAATGGAAAGCTAGTTAATAAAAATGCCATCCATTTGCCAATTTGTTTACTATGTGGTAAAAGTGTTCTGATGATGAACTCTATTCAAATAATGGCTTAATTGGCATCCTCTTCCAAACAAAGGAATTCAATATTCTACAAGTCAGGATTGTCCTCTGTAAGGTAAAAAGCATTCTTGCCTTATAAAAAAGATCAGTGAAGTGATCAAATATTTATTATTATTGCTTATTACTTAGAAAAGAATCACTTCTGTTTTTCTCAAAGCAAAACAATATTAAGTAAAGATAATTTCTGTAACTTTCTTTTGATTTGTATCTTTAGCATTTTGTCAATATAATTGTCAGACATTCTACAGATGTCTTCACTTAATTTTTTCAGAGTTCTCTTAGTAGCACAAATACATAGAACAATACTCAGTACATATAACAATAAACTATTGTTTATTGACCTAAACTATTTTTAATTTATGTACCTTTAAATGTCTTTATGTAGGTTTTGAATAAAACTATGACTTCAACTTTGCAGTAAGAATGACAAATATTATAATCACCTGGACTGAGTTTATTCTTGCGTATGCTAAATAAAAACATGAAATAATAAAAATATCATAAAATTTGATGATTACAAAAATATCACTTTCATTTAAGACTCCATTATTTGCTTTACTACATGCTCCTGATTTCCTATACTTTTACTTAATAAAATTGCAACATTCTTTTAGGACTCTTAGGGGAAGAGTTAATTCATACTCTGGGGGTATTAGAGAAAGGCTTAGGCTCTGGGAAATTTGCATGAGCATAGTAAAAGATTATTCATGTCACAATGTGAGAGTTATGACTAGAAGTAAAAAAATTAGAGGCTGTTTCTCCCTTTTTCAGTTAAGTATTATAAGCTAAAATTACTTTCTATCAAACGTGATTTCATTTGGTGCTAAGTTTCAAATAATTTATTAATATTCTTCCACTTCCATTTCACATTAAAAACAAAACTAAGAACATTAATTAAAAACAAAACTCTATGTTCAAAAATTTTGATTTTTTTCATTGAGATAAAAAAACATATAGCCAGGTGTGATGGAATATACCTGTAATCACGGCTGAGACGGGAGGATTCTGAGTTCAAAGCTAACCTTTGTTACATACTAAGACCAAAACCAAACCAAATCAAACCAAATCAAAACACCAGAAGAAGGGCCAGGAATGGTGGTTCAGGCCTGTAATTCCAGTACTCTGGAGGCTGAGGCAGATGGAATACTATGAATTTGACGCCAGCCTGGGCTCTAGGGTGAGACCCTGCCTTGAAAAACCAAAGGGTCCCATTAAAGTATTTAAATATAGGTTATAAATAAATATGCCCTGCTTATATATCTTTTTTCACATGAAAATCAAAACATATATTGAATTAGCACATTATCCATACCTGTAAAATGTTGGCAGGGTTTTCTTTAGCAGATGCAATTAACAAAGTATGCCCGTTGACAACTCCCTCTGCCAGGAAATACTTGAAGAGCAAGGGCGAGTAGATATTAAATTTATCCTCTTCTGAAAAAAATTTGAAAAGTATATTAGCATCCCTGTGTACTCAAACATGTTTTTGCATTGTTTTCTTTTTAAAACAAGTAGAAAACAAGTATGTGACGTGAGGCAATGGATAATGCTTTCCTTAGGCACAGAGTGAGACCAAATGATTCAAAGGGGGATTTTTTAATAGAGATTTTTCTAATTCCAAAAATCATTCTCCAACTACTACACTGTTTTGAAACTCCAAAATAAAAGACAAGTTGTTGCTCCTGGAGCTGATTCTCTCCTTTCACTGTGAGTCACTGGGATAGAACTCAGGTTGTCAAGCTTGGTGGCAAGCACCTTTATCTACTGAGCCTAAGTGAAGATTAAAAATAATTATTACTGTCTGCATGTGCATGATGTGTGTATGGAAGTAGGGGGTGTGCATGCCATGCAGTGTGTGCAGAGGTCAAGCGATACCTTTGTGGGTTCAGTTGTTTCCTTCCACCTTTACCTGAGTTCTGGGATCTGAACTTGATGGGCAGGCTTACACAGCCAATGCCTTTAGCTGGTAGGTAAGCAAGCCATTTTTCCAGCCCTATGTATTCTAATAACATTAACAAAACTATTCCTTGATAGTTCATTTTGTCAGGCACTGTACTTCCTTAAAATTTCTAATTTTTAAAATTTATTTTCTGTTTATGTGTGTATGTGTGTACATGGAACATGGTGTGGCAGTTAGAGGGCAAGTTGTTGGTTATTTCCTTCTACTACGTGGGGCATAGGGATTGAACTTGGGTCATCAGGCTTGGGGGCAGTTACCTTTACCTGCTGGCCCAGGCACTGTACTTCTATAACAGCCATTATTACCCATCACAGCCTGTAAGTTCATGTATTTACTTCATGTCATAATAAGTAATAAGTAAGCAGTTAATTTATATAACCCCTGATGACTAGTATTTATAAAATTTACAAAAGTGGTACTAAGTCCACATTCTGGTTTTGAGCTCACTTTAACAATAATTTAAAATTGAAGAGTGAATTGGTATCAAGTGTTTTCCCAGTAAAAAATTCTCTGGATTATGTTATTCTCTTATACTTCCCTTTTTCTACTTAAACAATTATGTGAAGATTCAGGAGTTTTTGTGAGGCAAAAATGTGTCATATTTTTGAGATTTATGTAAAAATGAATATAACTCGGCTGATCTTTTCTTTCTTAACATTGGTCATAAGCTAAGTGGTCACATTTATATATCACTTTTTCTTCCTTTAACGGCTGAATACAAGGAGACAAGATACATTAGTAATTTTATTTATCATCTAAAATAAGCCTTAATCATTACTAATATATTCAACAAACAAGAACTCCTATAGGATATCAGAAAGTCATTGCCAATATCTGTAAAAATTAAAAAGTACTGGGGCTGGAGAGATGGCTCAGCGGTTAAGAACACTGGTTGTTCTTGCAAAAGACACAGGCTCGAATCCCACCACCCACATGGCAGCTAACAACTCTCCGTAACTCCAGTTCCAGGGGATCTGACAGTCTTTTCTGTCCTCCGCGGGCATCGCACGACATGGGTGCACTTACCTACACACAGGCAATACATGCATACACATAAAAAAATAATAATTTTTTTTAAAAAATTGAAAAAAATTAAAAAGTGCTGAAAACAGAAATGTATTTCACAGTAGGAACCTGTGGCAGTGCTCTCTGAAAGCAGCCTGTGAAACAACCTGTAGTTCTAACTGTAAAACCTGCAAACATACCACTTCAAAACAGGTATCTGGAGCCAGTGGCACATGATAGGAAGCAGGCAGCAACCATAGCAATTTCATTTGGAAGTACAGTGCCCATGAACTATAAAGGATTTCAGGCTTGGGGCTTTCTAACCTAAGAATGCCCTTATTTTCGCTAATTCCAGCAACATTACAGCTTATCCTTCTCGACTTGAGATGGAAGAATACAAAGGTCAGAATTGTCAAAGAGGGAAGAAAAAAAAACAAAAGCTGAGTTCCAGGGGAAAATCCTAAAAGCAAGAATGCCTCCAAGGGAAAATATGATTATCTGCTGTGCCAAATTCTTGGCTGATCACTCTCAGCCTGGTGCAAGAAGAGTGCTCAGGACAATAAACTCAGGCATGTGACTCCCAACCTAGGATGAGCCTGGATTGCAGAACACTGAATCTTGCTGGCTGAGTTGCCAGAGGGCAAAACTCAGGGCTCAAGGTCAAAGGAAAAATAAGCCCCCAAATCTGAATGCAAACTGTCCAGGGACTTCTGGGAAAAATGGCAGACCAAAAGCTGCCCCTGTGAGACCAGGTGAAGAAGAGTCAGAATGAGAAGAATGAAACTCTATTCCAAAGGAAGAAGAGCTTCCGAATCATAACGGTAATGACAAAAACCGAAAATTATGGTTAAAAAGAGGATGGTATGGAAAGGAAGCCAACCCAGAAACATCTTGAGCCATGAAGCGCAGTAGCAGGAGCAGGGGAAGCAAAGGCTTCATCCAAATGATAAGCCTAGCAGCCCAGTAGGATTGAGAGTTCTACCTGCAGGCCAGGCCCAGGGTTCTTGTGAGCCTCAGGTCCAGGTACAGCTTTAGGTGATGAGGACTCCTGGTGATGGAGAGGAAGTAGAGGTATCCTATTTGTTACCCTATGACTTGGAGGGCAGGGGCTGGGCACTAGTTTGAGAGGGGACTTGCTGTTTAAAACTGAGCTACTCTGCTGACCCAAGACAAGGGAACCTGAATTTAACCTCCCAACTGTAGGAGGGGAGAACTTAGAAGGCAGTTGTGGAGTGCAGGGAGGCCAGACTGACAATCAGACGTATACTGTCTAGTATAAGCAACAGAAGATCATTTCCGGCAATGAAACACAGTGGCCAGGAGCAAACCTACCCCAGATAACACCCCTGAAGTCTCATAGCTGAGAGACCGAGGCCAGGAGGTGGATCAGTCTCTGGAGCTCCACATGAACCACTCTCTCTGTAGAGTCAGAGAACTCTGAAGCTCTAGCAGAGTACTTGACACCCATGGCCACACTCTTTCAGCAGCGTGATCTACACTTAGGAAGTCTGCAAGGTACAAAGGTTCCTACCTGTACAGCTCTCAGAACTGCGGTTGTTTCCCCTCACTCCTTTCTTATTTGGGGGATAGCCATTAGTCACTTCAGTGGTAGAATCCGGGGACTATCAGGGAGGTCTGCACAGGTCACAGGCTGCAAAGCTAAGTATGGGCAGCAGGTATTCCATGAAAAGAAGCTACGACAGTGAAGACCGCTCTAGAGAAATCAACAGTTGTCTGATAGGCTCAACACCAGCATAAACCATAAGACAGACAAGAGTCCACAAAGTCAACTGACTGGCACCAGTGTGCAATTTTTGAGGACACAGACCCATACTATTTTCAAATTTTATTTCTTATGCCTCTTGTGCTCCTCTTTCCTTTCATTATACCCTTAGTATTTTTCACTTTATCATTTAAAAGAAGTTTGTTTTTATTCATTTCTAATAGCATTTATTTATTTTACAGCTTTGGATTTTTACAACATTTTATTTTATGCACGTTTGTGTGTTTGTGTGTTTGTGTGTACAGTGTGTATGTGACATGTGTGTGGAGGTCAGAGAACAACTTGCAGAACTCAGTTTTCTCCTCCCACCAAGTAGATCTCAGGGATTGAACTCAAGTCCTCAGATTTGGAGGCAAGTGGCTTCACCTACTGAGCCCCATCGGCAGCATGTGTTTTTCTTCTTCTTTTTCATCTACTCATCTAATTTTGTTTACATCTTTTTCATTATTGGGAAATCTTTTTTTCTTTTCTTGGTTTTCATCTTTTTAATCCTGTGTCCCCCACCTTTTTCTTTCTATTATACCTTCAGTAGAATTTGGGCTATATGATTTCTAGCTGCTATAATTTTATTTTGGATTACCTTTCTCATATTTGTCTAATTTTGTTTTGGAACTTCCTTGGTGTTGGGAAATTTTCTCTTCTATTTTATTTTATATTTTAATTTTTTCTGATCTTTTCTTCTCTTAGATCCTTCCTCACTTTTCTTCTTTTTTCTTTTCTGTTATTTTATCTTGCTTCTCCTTTCTTTTGCTCCTTTCCCTACATGCCCTCTTCTTTCACCAAAAATTCTACACACACCCTACATAAATTTTCATTTCTTAACATGCACTATATTGGCATTGCCATTTTCTGGTTTATGGGCATTGATTATGTATTGGTGGGCTTTAACCAAATGTAATTGCATTCCTAGACCTTGCATGGTTTGATGTTGCTGTTTTAACAGTTTCCTTTCATTTCCCCTTTCTGAGTGGTATGGGGATTGTACCCTCAAGAGTAGTTTGCTCAGTAGGAGGAGCTCCCAATAAAACTGGGATCTACTCAAACCAACCTATGTGTGAATCACAGCAAAGAAACAGGAACCATGGAAAAGTAAGGCAACATGACTCCTCCAAGACAGTAACTCATTAATTACTGAATTCAAGACAACTCATCCAATAACAAATTCAAAGACACCGAAATGGTAAAAATGCTGGATGAAGATTTTAAAGTTTAAGGTAAAATTGATCAGTGAGCATGAAGATACTACAAACACGCAGATGGATTTAATCCAGGACCAGAGAGGAAGGTAAACAATAGAGAGAACAAAGCAAAATGAAAGAGAGAAAAAAATCAGCAACATGGGTATAAAAGTTGGCAAAATGGGAGACAAATTCATCAGACACAGAGATTTTAAAAATGACAGAAATGAAAAATTAAATGCATCTAAAAACAAAAGTGCTTGTTATACACACAGAAGGACTTGAGTTTGGATCACCAGCACCCATTTAGAAAGCTGGGGATGGTGACAGGTGCCTGTAATCATAGCTCCGAGGAAGGAGAAACAGGTAGAACTTGCTGGCCATCAAGGTTCAGTGAGACCTTGCCTCAATTAAGGTGGAAGGAGATAGAAAACACATATATCAACCTCTGGACTCCACATGCATATTCACATGAACACGAACACACACACACACACACACACAC